AGACCTCATTAACCTTCCCAACGGCGGTCGACATCGACATCGACCGGTACTTCGCGTCCAATCTCTTCATTTTGGCCATAAATAGCCCGAAAGGACTCCTCAGCTGTTTGTTAGCCATTGTGTCGACCAATAGATAATACGCTCAACGGATGAGATAATGACTGCAAAAGACATAATAAACGGTTTAATGAATGGTTTGATGCGATAGTGGATGAGTGGGGCATACGTTGGATGTGTTGAAGTGATGTCTTAAGAGGTCTTAATGGTACGAATGGTGTGCCAAATGAGTTGTGAAGACACTGACTGATACTCAACGACTGAAATAACTGACTGTTTGCTGCTTTTTCACACACTTTCAACTCATTTACACCAATCAAATCGCTTTCATTAGTCACGTGAACGGCAACTCTCATAGCCTATGCACTCAATGCAGTCAATGCTTTATGAGAGCATTGTTTTCAAGCATTTTTCAATGACTGCAATGCATTGAAACAAAGTTTTCACTCAAACCTAACCTAACATACGGTTTGCGAGTTTCCCTATGAATGCACTTTTCCATACACTTCCACTCATTCGCAATGTAATCCAATAAAATACCCTTGATATTTGCAAAACTCATAAAAATTAGTCACAAAACTTACCTGTATGTATGTAAAATCATAGCACATAAAATCCTATGCCTAGTAAAATAACACAATACGTAAAAACTAAATAAAACACAAGTAGTTTTGTCTGAAAAAATTCATCAAAATTTATTTGTCACTTAAATATCTATATTTACACAAAAACTTGTTTTAATTGTTTTCATATTTTTCAGTAAATATAATATAATTAGTTTTGTATCGCTTTCGACGCTTTTAATAATGGGATATATTTTATCAGTTGACAGATGCGTGTGATTTTGGAAAATATTACAGCAAAAATCAAATATAATCAGGGTAATAATGATTAACTAATTATAATAATAATACTAATCAATAATTAAAATGACATGAGAAATTTGTATTTCTATTAACAACTAAAAACGATATTAAATTTCGTAACCATTTGTCTCTAAAAAACTTATATTTTTATCATTGAATCTAAACATTAAAAACTTTTTTGTAACAAAAAAAGTTTTCACTTAAACCGCAAAAAACTAATCAAAACTTTGTTTCTTAGAGACAAACAAATTACTATACATTACATTATGTATACATTCATTGATTTTATTGTGAATTAATGGTTAGTTTGTCTGATCATCAAATAAAAACTATATGTTCACTGAAATTATGTGTGATTTTTCGATGGTTTTAGAGAAAAAACAGATAAAATACAAACAAAACACTAAAATAAAAGCAATGTTTGGAAAACAAATTCAATGTTTTGTTGAATGAAAACCAATGATAAGAAATGAAATGTTGTTTTTCACAAAAGTCTTGTTCATCTAATCCACGCGAATGGCATTCACGTGAAGACATTTATACAAATGGTGGGCAGGACTGGGAGGTCACGGGGGGGGGGCCGGGAGTTATCGGGACATACAGACAGATAGAAAGTGGGACATAGAGTAATGAGAGGGTCGGGAGGGGAAGGGAGAGAGAAAGAGAGAGATATCACAATTGAAAAGTGGCTCAAAATATACTGTTTTTCTCTTTCTAATCATTTCTCAATTAATTAAAAAACTTTTTGTTTGTTTTAAACAATGATTTCGTTTAACTATAATTTAAGAGTTAACTAACTTTTTACCACAAATTTGTTATATTTGTTGATATATTAATAGTGTCTTAAAACTTATTAATTAATAATTCACTTATTTTTATATCAAATACGTATATAAGAGGGAATATTGAGAGCGATTTGTTTTGTAATTAGAAATTAAAAGCAATTATATTAGGAATTAGTCATAAATAAAATCAACTAAAAACCAAAAAGCATAGCAATAACCAGAAAAAATGCTTTGAAAAACAAAAAGTATCGATAAAACAGTGTATTTCTCACAACAAATACTAAACACAACTCTTTCCACTGTATATAATAGCGTGTAATCTATTCATAAGTATTTGTTTTGTTATAAATAATAAGAGTTTTAAATCATAATTATAATTGACGTATAATTTGAGAATTTTTTGATCGAAAAAAACAAAACCAATAAATAATTCGCGAGAAATCAAAGGCAAACGTAAAGTTTTGGGCAAAAAACAACTCAAACTTCAATTGAATTCCTAATTTCTATTCAAAAAAAACTCAAAAATAGTTATCATTTGTCTGTATATTTAATCAGTTCTATGGGCGATAGAGACTGCGTGGGGGCGCACAGGTATCCTGGAGTCAGACTCCAAGCCCTCCGGGAAACGGTAACACACTTTATGTTAACTCGGGTGAGACGACAGTCCATTCATTAATAAATTACTGTTCATAAGGGGAACGGGCGTCGCGTGGCCCACAAACTCCTGGTGCTGGTGCTGCTGGTGGGGCGTCGGCCCTAACGTCAACGGATTCAACGGATAAATAACGGGAAAACTGTTGGGTATGTGGGGCACGTTGTTGGCCACCATTGGTGCGGACGAGTGCGGGGGCGGAGGCGGCGCCGGTAGGCTCTGCGGGTAGGCCTCGCAGGCGTTCTTCAGTATGGGTGACAGCGAGTTGGAGGCGATGGCGCCGTCGATCAGACCGTTCAACTGCTGGCGCTGTTCGCTCGTCAGACTACTCAACCAATTCGTGAAACCAATGATATCGGACTGTCCGCCAAAGTCGGACAACTGGACACCACCTGCACCGCCCGCACCACCACCAGCTCCACCGGCGCCTCCCATCACACGATTCATACCACCGAAACCGCCAACACTGGTCGCCGCACCGGTAGTCCCATTGAGACCCGCGAACGCCACCAGATTCTGGACATCTTTGTTAACCATCGCCAACGCCTGTTCCAGCGCTTCCGTCTCCTCAGTGGACGGGATGTCGCCGTTTTGGTGGTCGAGTAGGAACTCACTGAACGCCTCGTCCGGTATTTTGTTCAACACGTCCGTGAAGTCGGCATCACTGGTCAGTTGCGGCAAATCCGCCACAATGGAGGTCACGAGCGCATCCTCCGTGGGCTCCAGGGGTGGCGGCGGTGGCATCGATGGGTCCATCGACACCACGACTGGTGATAGTGGCACTCGTAGGGGCACCGGACCCATGCCGTTGACCACTGATGGCGGTAATAGTGGCGGCAGTCGCGAGAACTGCATCTCAGGCGGTGGTGGCGGTTGTGTGTGTGCTATGAGTGCCGGTGCTGTCACTCGAGTAATGCTGGCGCTCACTGTCGTCGCGGCTGTAGTCGTCTGGTGATGAGGTAAAGTCATAGGCGGCGGCGCCGGAACTCCCATCGCGCCGATCATCACGTGCTTAATGTCGGGCCTCTCAACGACGTCCTCTTTCTGTGCCAACAGATTAGTGGCGAAGTCTGTGGTGTCGACGGACTGGGAGTCGTCGTCAACGCTTAGACGGCTGTCAATACTGTTCTCAATGGCGTCGGCCGCTGTGGCACCGGTAGTGCCTTTCATGCGCTTTTTGGAGCGACGGGTGGGTCTCGTCATAGCCATGGGTTTGGCGTTTCGACGCCTTTTACCCGTTTTCGACTCGTTGTTCGCTGGACTGCCGGCCCTCTCGTCGGCAGCGGCCGCCTCCCGGTTCACCATTTGATGATAACTACACAGCGGCTCCTCATTGACGATATCAAACGTCGAGTGCGAGCACTGCGTCAACGTGTCCGAGCACTTGGCCGTACACCTCGAGTACAACAGTTGGTCCACATTATAGAGTATATGTTGGGCGCAGTGTCGGGCGAACGGGAGGGCTGGCAGTCGACACCGGACGCCCCTATCGTCGTCGTACGACGTGTAACAACAGACGCCTTTCCGGAGGCACCCGTCCGTACGGCGCGACCGCTCCGCCAGTTTGTAATCCAAATAAGTGCGCCCTTTAGGGGCGGCCGTGGATGCCGGGCCGGCGCTCGCGGGGCCGGTAGTGTTCAGCGTCTTGAGTATAGCTCGCGTGGTGTCCAATTGGGGCGCGAAGTCCCGGCGCCGGACGTCAATCAACTTCTTGAGCAGCACTTTCTCGGCGATCAGCTCCGTCTTCAGCTCATTGGCCTCTAAGTCCTCAATGTTTGTCGCGAATGTGGCGAAGATGTTGGGGAATATCGGATCCGCGTCGCCATCCGCGCCACTCCTTAACCTCCTGTTCGCGCAGTCGGTGGCGCCGACACCCGTGTCGTCGTCGTCCAACTCGTCATCACTTTCGGACCAAATGTGATAATTGAAGAGATTGTCACCGAATCGCTTTCGACGCGCGAACACAAACTTGTCGATCGACTTCTTGTTGTCCTTCTTCTTGCGCTTCGGCCGCTTCGCCACAACATTACACTTGTTATCAACGGATCCACTGTTGGCCGCACTCTTCGGCAGACCGTTGATCGTCGACGACTTCGCGCCACTCTTATGACTAGAATTCGAGGTCTCGTTCGGCGGCACCGGCGCCGCCGTACTGTCCGTCACCGCACTATCACTACTCGACGCCTGATTCGCGCCGCACTTCTGTTGATCACTACTACCAGCGCCTGTAGCCGCTGAGGCTGTCGACGCGGAGGGGGGCTTACACTTGGCGTCCCGGCGCTCCTTCTTGGGCGCCATACCGGCGATCTGCATGTGACTGTTGCAGAAGAGGCGCTCCTCGTTGGCGGGGATGGCGTTCGAGCACTTCTGGCGGTTATACTTCGCCACGTGTTGGCACTGCCGGAAGGGCGCCATCGGGTCCTCGAGTATGTGTCGTATGCAGAAGGCGTACCCATTGATCCGACGCTGTTTGCAGAGTTTGGCGGAGTAGGAGCACAGGGGCTTGTGGTCGACGGGCGAGTAGTGTATGTGCGAGCCCTGGAACAGGTGGTGGTGAGCGGCGCCAGCGGCCGGCGCCGGGTATCGACTGCGGCTGTGGTTGGCTTTGGGCGTCGGGAGCGTCGCCACTACTACTCCTCCATCGCCAGGCGCTCCAGCGTTGGCGGCATTAGGCGTCGCTTTTCTCGATATAGTTCTTGGAGTCGATGTCTGTGTGGTTGTCGTTGTCTTGAGCGGCGGTGCGGTGGTAGTCGATGACGGGTTCATGAGTGGCGTCGAGTGCGTTGTCATTGATATGGTGGTGACCGGCGCTGCCGACCACGTGGTGGTGGCTGTGGTCGCGTTGGTGGTGATGGTGGACGAGGACAGCACCGTCAGCACAGAGAGCGCCTGTAGTCGCGGCGATGGTGGCGGTGGTGCTGCTGCTGATGGTGTCTGATGGGTGAGCAGCACGTGTGGGCCGACACTACCGCCGCTGCTGCTGACGGTTCTCGTGGCCATTGTGGCCATCATTTGCCGCACAGTATTGGCGGCCACTGTCTGATGGCATCAAT